TGGGGAGGGAAAAGAGAGAGTCTTAGATGAAGAATTTCCCATTCTGGAAGGGGTTCACAGGTTTCCATAGCATATGACAGCATGGACTTTTTGCATTTTTTAGATATAGAAAGCAGACATGCCTGTCCTCTGTGCAAACAAACCATTCACTTAGCTGCTTTGTGGCTTTGTGAAGGAGACAGTATGGAGAGCAAAGGCTGCGAAGCAGGTATGCACCACAACAAGAGGACACGATAGAAAAGCGGTTGAAGAGTCGGGTGAAGCACACACACCTTCCATTCTGATGAATGGCAGCAAGGCGCTGGTCATTCGAGTAGAGAGTTACCAGTGAGCCATTTGTCAGCACTAGAGGTGTCTGTGGCTCATCGGGGATGCCCTGGGATTTCTGCATTATTGATGGTGTGTCCTGAAGCCACTTAGACGGTGTTCCAGATCGAAATATTGCAGATTTTCTTCTCCAGTTTTCTGCATCATCCAGATCTATGTCAAAATCCTCCCTTCGTCCAATCCCTCCGGCAACTCCCCCTTCCCTCTTCTTCATTTTCAGCTCCGGGCTCTCACTTTCATCTGGCAGCGGGTTCACAGCTCCCTCAACATCCTCCACTTTTGCTTCTGTTCTTACGCCCTGTCCCTCATTATTGTTATTATTCTCCACTTCGCATTCTTCTTGCTCACCTTTTTCACCCCCCTCCTCCCATCCAGGAGGCTGCAAAGATGCAGCGACAGCCGGATTCGAATCTCTTTCAGGACCTTCAGCTACGAGGCCAGCACCGGACGCTGACATAGTCTCTGAGTCAGAGACAAAATCCCTCATTCCTTGGACTTCTCTATCCACTTGTGCTTCTTTCACATCAACTGCAGGTGGCTTAGAAAGGGGCAAGTCCCTCCTTGTGGGGGAGGATGCATTAGAGAGAGCCATCCGCGATGAACGTTCGCTAGAACGACCACCTGATGATAGGGAGGTCCCCATCTCTTCCTGGCCGCTTGCCTTCCTCCCTACAGCGCGTGTCGCACGAGCCAACCGATCGAACAGGAATGAGCCCGACCGCACCCTACCACTTGGTGTGGCAGCAGCGGAAGACTGCTGTTTTCCACCAGCAGAGGACAGCTGCTTTGCACCAGGTGTAGCTGCACTCTCCTTATGGGCATTGCCAAGAACAGCTCGAGGCATTCTATTCGGGCCACCCACTGTATGCTGTCTTGATGACCCTCCATAACCTCCCGACCCTCCCTTCCACATATGATGATACCCCTTGAGGGGGCTCTGCACCTCCTCCCCTCCACTCTCCAAGCCATGTTCCCTCTTCTGACTGTGAAGGCCAGACGATGTCCCAGACTCACATGGCAATGCCCCCATACGGTTAGCCTTCGACATCGATCCTGTCACAGCAGTCGCATTCCTTTCATTGCCATTCAAATTCCTTGATCGAAGTGGCCCTCGGCAACGATTCGACGTGGCAGCATTGCCGCAGTCCGAGGCTGTCAAGGAGGTGCACGATGACTCCGCAACGACGGTTGTCGACGTGGTTTGAGAACCATAGTTAGCCCGGAGACTGCAATTAGACGCACTGGGACCGCCATCCCCAGACCTTTCAGGGGACAAGCTAGTAGTGCCCGTAATCCCAGACCCACGTTTGACAGGGGTTCCAGACAGACGGCCGCTCGATCTCCTGCCACCAGATGGCGTACCGCCCACAAGGCCACCGGATGAACGACGTGGGGTATACAGCCGTGACCGGCCTCCTTCAGTAGAGCCCCCCTGGGAAGAGCCACTGCGAGTGGCCGAAGATACAACTGTGACATTATGTGAGATACGCTGAGATGCCTTATTAGAGGCGGAAATCCCACTGCCACAAACTTTCTTGGTGCTCTTATGATCCACAGTATCAGCAGCAGGCACTGGCGCTGAGGTCAGGGAGGAGGTATCCTTCAACGAGCCAGTGGAAGGGCGACTTGAAAAACTGTGTGATCGCACATGGCGTAATCTAGGAGGAAGGGGAATAGATAGCCACGATGATCCACCTCCTTTCGATGCGATCGTAGACCGACCTGATGCCTCCCCACCGGCACCAGCATTAGGCGGTCCTGGCAGAGGGCCAGAGCGAGACGAAGTTAGCCTGGAAGGGAAAGTCATTCTTTCCCCCAATAACTGCTACAGCCAGCCACCAAAACTCACCCTGCTAGCTCAGAAATTCGTTCGTGTATATGTTTGTGCATATGTGTGTGT